GAGCTGCATCCCCGGCCTCGCCCACCGGGGCCCCACCTGCGTGTTTGGGGATACTCAGGAATGACAGCGGAGTGCAGGTGCCCGCCTGGACCGGAGCTCTCATCGGTCACCTTCCCCCCTTTGCCGCTATGGGATTTGGAAGGACGGGGGTGGGGGGGGAGGTGAATGGATGACCCCACGCAGGTCAGGCAGACCAGCTGCTGCGCATTTCCGGGGGCACGGGGCAGGAGCCTGCTCGGGCGCCACGTGCGGTCGCTGGACCGTGCGGAAAGCTGGCGATTCAGCGCCCGTTGGAGAGACGCAGGCGGCAGCCTGGCCGCGGCTGCGGGGAGACACTTACGTCCTTGAGGGTGATGATGTTGGGGTGCTGGCCATACCGCAGCAGGATCTCGATCTCCTCCGAGGGGTCTCGCCTGCTCTTGTCGATGATCTGGAACAGACAGGCGTGGCCGTGGGGCTCCCGAGGCGCCTGCGGCCGGGGCCCTCTCCGCGCCCCTCCGGCCGGCTCGGCTCCTGTCCCGCAAAGCTCGCGGCTGCCCAGGAGTTCACGGTGACCCGCTCTCCCCGCGGCACCCGGCGGCCCTCAGACGCTCATTTTGACGTATCACAAGGTCTCCGGGGACCGAGTGACGGCGATTTAGCAAAGCTGAGTTCAGAGGGCGTCTCCGTGAGCTTCGGATGGGAACACGAGGGAGACACGCCAGGCCCGCGTCACCAGGGCTGTTTCAGAGGCCGGCGGGGGCCCATGGGGCTCAGAGCAGCGCCGTCCCCGGGCGGGCGGGGTCGCCATGGCCGAGCAACAGGCCCGTTTCTTTGCGCTCACTGGAGGCAGTGGGGGCTGCTGCCAGTCGCCCCACAAACTAAGGGGATCCTGTGAGTCGTGGCCTACGCAGGAGGAAATTCCATGACGCTAAGTCAGCGTATGAAGCGTGTGCAAAACACGGCTCAGAGTGTGAACAAAGTCCCCTGAGGCAGGAGGCGGGTCTGGATGGACGACAGCGGCCTCCTTCCCACCCTCCCGAGGAAGAGTGAAGATAATCCAGAGCCTAGGATTAGTCGACCACGCGCCCGGGCTGCAGCCGCGAGCGGCCCGGGACACCGGCGGGTTCCCCACTGTGACCTTGGGACACGGCAGCGTCCTTCACGGTGGTGCCCCCCGGTCCTCCCCAGGACTGAACTAAAATTCACGCTGAGTCTCCCTCCTCCAACCTCTCCTTCATGTGCCCACTGGACAGGCTGGCCGTGGCGACGCCGTCAGCGGGACTCACCGATTCACTGTTCCTCCACATTTAGATGTGCTTGCTTTGTTTGAGGAATTCAAGATAAATTTGTAAAAGGCCATGAATTCCTAACCTGAGCTGAACCAAGGGCTGTGAGTTTTCGGGGCTGGTCTCTCGTCTGGCAGGTGAGCACTCCCTCGGGGTCAGTGTGGGGACACTGGGCAGATGTCCCAGGGGACACGCATGCCGTTCCCGGGGATACACCTCTGGAAAAACCTGTTTCCGTGAAGGGCAGCAGAGCGCGGGTGAGCTGGGAGGGACCGGGCCGCCTCACCGGGTCATCGCTCTGAGCCAGGTTTCAGAGCTCAGGAAAATCACAGCGGGTGGCACTACGCCGTCCACACGGCTGCTTCTGGTTACATCTGTCCCCAGATGTTCTCTGAAGACCACGAGCAGCGCCACAGGCCACACACCTGGGGTAAGCCAGAGCGGGCCTGGGCTGGACCTGGCTGCTCAGGGTCCAGTTCAGCTTCGTGGGCGGGGGTGGAGTCGAGCAGCTTGGACAGAATGCACAGCTCCTGCTCCCCCCTCAGTCAGATCACGACGCAGCAGGTAACTGGCTATAATCCACCTCACCAGCCGGAAAACCCCGGAAACCGATACTTTGTATTTCCAGATCAAATACTTAATCTTGCAACAATGACAGAAGCTGAAGCTACTCTGTGGAGAGGGACAAATTGGATTATAGATAATTGTTACTATTTACTGTCCTTGATGGTGGCCAGTGAAACCACCAGCTTCAGCCGTTGCCGACGTGACCCGTCTGCGCTTGTCTTTATTTCTTTGACTTGACTTTTGGGGACTGTATCTACCTTTCCTCCTTCCTTCCCCCGTCCCTTCCTTTGCCAATCGCTATGCCCGTCCCTAGCTCTACTTTCCCAAATACGGGGTGCCCAAAGCTGTCACTCCAGTGTGGATTCTCTGTAAAGGGGGGCAGTACCTACATGCTGAGTAGAACTGAAAATATTCGTGATTAGCAAAATAGTGTTCAGATGGGTGACCCAATGTCAAAGCAAATGGGCTCCACTGCGTGGGAGCTCGGAAAGGTGAAGGAGCCGGGGCAGGCGAGCGGGGCCTGCGGGCCGGGCACACAGCTGCAGCGTCCCCCGCGCGCACGGCCTTACCTTCACGGCGTACTCCGCGTCGGTGGCTCTGTGTACACACCGCTTGCACACGGAGTAGGAGCCCACCCCGATGTCCTCCTTGATCTCATAGCCGTCGGTGAAGTGGATGTTGTTCCCGTGCAGCTGCTGGAGAGGGACGAGGGCGCCTCAGAGCTCTCGGCAGGCACCGAGCGCGGGCACAGGGTGGGGGGTCCAGACTGTGCGCCCCCGACGTGGAGGCCAGAGGGGGCAGGGCCCTCTGACAGAAGCCGTGGAGCGTGAGCCGTGGCTCCCGATCTAAATCCCGTCCTCCCTCGCCTCTCGAGCTATGACCACTGTCGACGCCGTAGTGCACTGTCGGCTGACCAGCCACGGTTCCCTGACACACTGAGTGAGGATCTGGAAGGGAGGGGACGGAGCCCAGGAGCCCCAGGAGCCCCAGGGAGAGAGCTCTGACGCTGCATCCAGAGCGCGTGTCTGCATGTCAACACCTAACTGGAAATCTGACCCCGTGATGTCCCAGTGGCCACCTGCTTCTGTCCCTACAAAGCCTCTGCCCACCTACTTAGTGGGGACAGAAAGCACCCAGACCAGGGTGCACCGTCACAGCCAGTGTCCATTAGGACATGCCGAGTTTCCAAAAGGTCATGGGGAAAGAAATATGAAATCCATGCCATCCAATCCACCCCGACTGGGCTCTTAGATAAAACTTCATCATGATTCCTCTTAGAGTTCTCCACGTCTGGTTAGATTTTATAAGGTGGAAAACACTATAACNGCTATAACAATGCCCCTTCCCTGACCTCCCACAGGAACATTTCACGCAGGGAAGTGGCTCCCACACACGGAACCGCTCTCCTGGGGTCCTGGCTGGGCTCCCCACAGCACAGACGCCCCCGAGGGCTCCGGCCACAGCACACCACGTGACCCTCAGCTCGGGGCTCTTTCCCTTTCTTAGGCTGAGTGCAAAGCGGGGGCAAGAGCCACGGCCAGATGCCACGGCCAGCGCGCAGTGACGCCGCGAGGCCGGAGGAGTCAGGACGAACAGCACCTGCCTCAGCGGAGACGGCCAAGCTGAGCTGGTCGCGACGCTGGCGACAGAGCCCCCTGACCGACCCACAGGCGCCAAGGGGTGGGCGCGCGGGTTCCCACAGAATGGGGGAGGGTTACCTGCACGATGGGGTGAACGGCGGCTTTGTGCAGGTCCTGCTGCAAGGGCTCCTGCACCAGGTTGGAGGCCACGAAACTGAAGCCTCTGAACAGATGGTGAGCGTTGGCGCTGGGGGGGACGCCCGGCGAGTCTGCAGGTAACAGGAGAGAAGTCAGGGTCCGGGGGAGCAGAGGGGCTGTGGGGACTGTGGTGCGCGGGTGTGGGGGTCAAGTCTGTGTCGTGTGTGCAGTGTAGTGAGAGTGCCGGTGCTGGAGGCGATCAACGGGCTGGAGATGGGGAACCGTGTGGGGCTACACTTTATCCTGGGTGGTGCCAGAGGTTTGATTTTTTTAATGGCAAAAATACTCAGAACAAACACTGGATAATCATTGATCACAATGCACTAACTACTCCTTTCTCTTTTTTAAATCCTTACCCAAGGATATTTTTTCCACTGACTGGAAGAGAAAGAGAGGGAGGGAGAGGAACATCGACGGGAGAGAGACACGCCTCCTGCACTCGCCCTGATGGGTCGGGGATGGAGCCTCGCCCGAGGTTCACGTCCCTGGCCGTAATCGAACGTGAGACCCTTCAGTCCACGGGCCAAGGTTTCAGCCACTGAGCCAAACGGGCCCGGGCCGCACCAACTATTCCTAAGGACAATCTATCCAGAACGGAGAGCTCTCCACCCCGCCCGCTGCAGACAAAGGGCCACTGGGCACCTCGGGGGGTGCGTGTGTGTGGCCGGCGCACAGGGAGCCAGTTCTGCGTTTCGAGGTTCAACCTCGTGCGGAGACTGAAGCCTGGGGGTAAAGGACCCGCCCTGTGCCACACGCCCCAGCCTGCGGGGTCCGCAGTGCCCCCGCTCTGCTCTGCAGGGCACTCGGGGGGGGTACAGCCCTGCCAACTCCAGCTGCGACAATTCCATCAGCGGCTGGAAACTTGTAGCCAGATGAGCACTAGCTGCCGGGCCCCTCTCCCCGCAGGGACCGAGGAGGCTACTGCGGCTCCCAGCAACCTGCCCACGCTCGGCCAGTCGTTAAAGGTTAACGGCCGACGCTCGATCCGCGTGGCTGGATGGTCAGCGACGGTGGCACAAGTAGCTTCAACAGCATTAAAAACGCTTTCTAGTCACCCCGGGGCTGCTGCCTTTTAGGGCAGTTCCCACAGAAGAGCAAAGATAGGAGCCGGATAAAAGGAAATCTAAAGCTAAGCGCAGCGATCTCTGCGGACCCCGCGGGTACTTTCTGACGTGCGCTCAACGTTTAACGGGTTTTAAATCCTCGACGGGCAGATGACACGCGACCGGGACTGCATGCTGTCTTTAGCACTGACTTGAATAAAAAGGAAAGGCTGTGAGGCACTGCAGGAATCCGCCACGCGGCATCCAGGGCCCCCGGCCAGGCCTGTCCGCCCGCTGCTGCTGTTTCCCTCAACCCAGCCGGCGCCCGGCTCGCGGGCTGAGAAAATCCTACCCTCTTATCAATACATAACCAGAGAGAAGGCGATTCTTCCGCGTCCTCAGTGCTCCCGTTACCACCTGCCTCAAGGCGAACCGTGNTGGTTATACATAACCAGAGAGAAGGCGATTCTTCCGCGTCCTCAGTGCTCCCGTTACCACCTGCCTCAAGGCGAACCGTGTGGGGTAACAAATCAACTTTAAGTAAAATCGACTGCAGAATTCACGAGGCGTGAAGACCCCGTTTCTAGACAGCACGGGAAGGCGCCGTGTCCACGACTCTCTTAGTCCGACGTGAAAGTAACGCTGAATCCCGTGTGCAGGGAAGGCCGCCGGGGAGCCGGAGGAACGCCTGCTGCTCGTGCCGGCCTGAGAGGTGGGCGGTGCCGCGGGCACCCACCTGTGGGCGTCCGGGCCGTGAACTCGGGGTCGAAGTGGAAGGTGTCCTCGGGCCGGCCCACCGCGGGCTTGAAGGGTGGCTTGATTTCCCTTCGGTACAGCTTCTGTGCGGGCGAGACAGGGCCGAGCCCGTGAGACGCAGGCCGGCTCCAGAGGCTCCTGGGCGCCCATGCGGGCGATGGGTCCCCGGCGACCTCCAGTGAGAGCCGAGCGGTGGGTGTGCCCCCGGCCCTGCCACCCCATCCCTGTGTGCAGCGGGGACCACGGGGCCACTCACGTTCCAGTCTGTGGTGACGAAGAAAGGGTGGCGTTTGATCTCCTCCACGCCATCGCTGCCGGCACCTGCAGGACAGAGCACAGGCCAGGGCCTGACTCCGGCGGCTGTGTGAGCTGGGGGTCCCACCTGCCCAGTGACATGCGGGAGGGACAAAGACCCTAAAGACCACTGTGGGAACCCCCCGTAGAGTTACTATGGATGAGTTAGATAAAATAAATGACAATTTCACTGCTTTAAAAAAAGAATCACTATGGAAATGAGTTAGTATGTAGGTGACCCGCATGCACACCTTGGTTTTAATGTTTGCCGAGGTGTCTTAAGTTAAAAGGAATTAAACTAGAAGCAGCCTCTCAATGGCTCTGTCCTTAGTCTTAGTTACAAAAGTAAGGAGGTGACACAGGTAGAAAAAAGTGCCACCACTTTGTGTAAAAACAGTGACCTTTAGGAAAGAGCTCGCACCACGTGGGCAGTGGCTGTGCATTTGGACCTCGTGGGCCCTCGTGTCCTTGGGGCTCGGACGCAGGCAACGGCATCCTGACCCCACCCCCGTCGTGACCTCGGGAGACGGTGGAGCTGGAGCAGAGCAGGGGGCAGGTGGCCCTGTGGGCCCCTCGCTGTCGCCGGAGTGGGGCCGGGCCGGGCGCTTACCCAGCCGGTTGACCGGGTTCCGCTTGAAGAGGGCTCTCAGCAGGCTCTGCGCCTCGGGGCTGAGGAACTGCGGCATCCCCAGCTTGGCCCTGGGCAGAGTCAGGCGAGAGTCAGAGGCGGCCCGGGGACCACAGCCCGCCCTCTGTCCCAGCCCAACCGCGCTAACAGACAAGTCCGCTCCAGCAGTGCCCTAATTTTCGGGTCTTAGGCCCTTTGCTGTTGTTGCTAACTCTCACCCGAGGATGTATTTCCACTGATTTTCAGAGAGAGTGGGAGGGGAGAGACATCGACGTGAGAGAGGCACATTTATTGGTTGCCTCTTGCAGGCAACCCTGACCAGGCCACGGATTGAACCTGCAACCCAGGTGTGTGCCCTTGACCAGGAACTGAACCCGTGACCCTTCGGTTTTTGGGCCGACGCTCTAACCACTGGGCAACAGCAGCCAGGGTGTCTTAGGCCCTTTTGCGCTGTGAGGTTTGTGAGAGCAACAAAGGGTTTTTGTTTATGTGGGTTGTACCTGTGATGTCGCCATATTAGAAATTAAAACTGAGAAAACGTTATAATAGCTATTTAATAATTTCTTTAAAACAATAAAGCCACTGAAAAGAAGCCACAGCCATCTCATGAACACAAGGACTTTCTAAATGGAAGGTGAGTGTGATTTCCAAAGCGGCAGCAAGAGGGCTTTGGCGAGAACAGCGGCGATGCTCCCACCTCGGGAATCTCCTCGGGGGCCGGGGGAAGGAGGGCCTCGCACGCCCTGATGGGGGTCTCAGCCCCGGGGACCTGGGACCACAGCTGGGAGCTGCCCTCAGAAATGCTGTCACTCCCAGGGGCCGGTCACGAGCCCACACCCAGGGTTTTCTGGAGGGAACTAGTCCAGCTTTACAAAAAGTGCAGATCTTTCCCCCGTGAGATGAAAAGGAGCCGAGGTGATGACTCAGAAATGAGGGGCCGGGCTACATGTCGTCCATGACGTGAACCCAGGACTCTCCCCCTGGAGCTCGCCCGACGTCCCGTCACAGGGGCCTTGGGCACATTGAAGATGCCACCGCAGGAGGCACTGGGGTGAGGCTTCTGTTGGGGACTCTAAGGGCAAAACCCATCAGTGTGGTAACTGACTCACACTGTTTGCACTCAGTCACACGGCAGCAAGGGCCTGCCCGGGGCAGGCGGGCTCGGGCACCTGCACCCACGGGGCCGACGGGGAGCGGGAAGGAAACCCCGCGCCCGAGTCCTCCGCCCCTCGGAACCTGTCAGTCATCACATCCCCCAAACCCACTATTGGTCCTCAGAGAGTCTTTTCTGGTGGGTAACCCTGTCTAGGGTGGAGAGTCCCTCAGAACTCCCAGTGGCCCCCAGGGCTGGCCATCCCCTTCATCCGCGCGGTTATCATTACCCCCAGCACCTACTTAACGACCCCGGTTTCCAAAACTGGGGCTCTTCATGTCAGAAGGTGCTGACAGGTGTGGGGGGTCCCCACGGCAGGCGCTTCTACTCACTTGAGGATGAGGGCCATGGTCTCCTTCCTGTCCTTCCCCTGGAACGGCAGGGACCCCGTGAGCATCTCGAACTGCAGACACAGAGCGGGGGGGCGAGTTCAGACCCAGGGACCCAGCGGCCGAGAAGGTTCCGGCAGTGCCCGTCCTGTCCCGGGACAGGCGCGAGGCCGACGCGGACCCAGCCCTCACCATGAGCACGCCGAAGGACCACCAGTCGGCGCTCTGCGTGTGTCCCCGCCGGTTCACCACCTCGGGCGCCATGTACTCGATGGTCCCGCAGAAGGAGTAGGCTCGCTTGTCGTGGTCGATGGCCTCCTTACTCAGCCCGAAATCTGAAGGTACAACAGCACCCGGCACTGAGTCTTTGAGGGGCGCAACGAGTGGCTTCAGGCCCACAGGCGGGCAGCTGGGACTGAGCACACGGCTGCCTCCTGCGACGCCCGTGTTCAAACACTCGCGGGTGAAGGACACGGTGCACACGTGGGGCTAAGTTTAGAGCACCTCTAGTTTCATCACCTATGAAAACAGGTGCCATCACCTCCTTCCAGGACCACGCGGGGCAGCGAGAACCTCACACCCCCCGTGGGCTTGCTCACTGCTGCCTAAGTGACTTGCTTTGCACCCCGGTGTTCGGGGGGTTGTTTGTAATTTGTGTCCGGCCAACGGACGCGGTGGGTCCTAGGGGCTGTGGAGGCGAGGAAACGGATGCTCCCCGGGGCCCTTGGAAAGGAGTCAGCCTGATGACACCTGGATCTTAGCCCCGTGAGATCCACTTGGGCCTCTGGCCTCTGGAACTGTGAGGTGACAAGTCCGTGTTGTTCTAAGTCACCACGTGTGTTAACAGGAACAGCATCAAGGCGACTGGGACACCAATGGGGGCCGTGGGACTAGAGGGTGTGTATTGAGTTTGACTACACTTGGTGTCCACGGGGAGCGGGGTCCCTCAGAAACAAAGGCGGGAAGGGAAGTCGGGGCCAGGACCCCACTGGAGTGAGATCACGGACATTTGTCCCGGGACCCGCGAGGGCCACTAGAACTCCTGAACCAAACACCCGCGATGCTCAGTCGGCAGGGACGGAGCGAGAGGGCCTCACGTCAGCAGGAGAGAAGGGAAGGAGGGACAACCTGGGACACCGTAGCATTCAGGACACACCCCGCAACACAACTAAGCCACGGCTACGGGAAATCCAGCCACAGCCGGCGAGGTCACAGCTGCAGCGGGAGGCGAGGGCCCGGGGGAGCCGGTGTCGCTTACACACCTGTGATCTTAATGTGGCCCTCTTCGTCCAGGAGGATGCTGCGGGCAGGGAGAGAACAGAGGCTCTGTCAGCGGCCGCATGCGGGGCACGTCGCCCAGGGACCCAGGGCTGCGTGGGGCGCAGGCTCCACACGGGCTTGCCTGCTGCCCAGCATATAATTAAGGTGAAAGTTTATCCTGTTTTAATCTTTTCTTTTCAGTGACACCTGATCTCTGCCCAGAAATGAGCAGCTTTCGGGATTAATTCCTCACTCACTTTAATTGACAACAGGACCTATTTTCTCCAGCCCTGCAATTACACGTCACTATTTTTCCCTAGAAAGATCCTTTTGACCTCCTGGTGAGACCTCAGAGAAAGGAACACGGAGCAGGCGCCACCGGGGGACCAGCAGGACAGGGCGTGGGGCCGCGCCCCGCTGCGCCCACTTACTTCTCGGGCTTCAGGTCTCTGTAGATGATCCCCAGGCCGTGCAGGTGGTCTAGAGCCAGGGCCAGCTCGGCCAGGTAGAACTTGACGTCCTCCTCCGTGAACATGACCTGGCGAGCGGGAGAGAGCGAGGCCGTGAGCTGACCGGGGGCTGGTTTGTTTTAAAGACGCTGCCAGAGAGACAGTGACTCAGCCCACGAAGTACACACTCGGGTCGGTCCTGCTCTGCACGGTCACCCCCCAGGCCGGACAGTGCGCTGCTGGCTGGTGCGGTGGAAACAGGAGTCCTATTTATAGTTTGAAGGTCAGGGAAGGCAGAGAGCACGTCCTACAAACGTGCCATTGGCCTTGTGAGTGGGGCACCTGGAGCCTCCTGTCCTCGGGTCCTTCAGGCCCCACAGGTCACCCAGCTCTGGAGTGTTTTTCTGGGTTTACTTTTTCTGTTGTTGTTAATCCCCACCTAAGGATATTTTTTCCATTGATTTTCGGAGAGAAAAGGACCTTCAAGAGGGGGCGGGGAGAGAAACATTGATGTGAGACACAGCGATCGGATGCCTCCTGCACGTGGCCCACCGGGGACGGAACCTGCAACCGAGGTGTGTGTCCTTGACCGGGAATCAAACCCGAGACCCTTCAGTGCGAGGGCTGATGCTCTAACCAGTGAGCCATACTAGCCAGGGCTGGGACTGCATTTTAATCTAAGTGCTTCTGATGTGAATTTGTAAGATTTAACACAAAACTGAGTCTGACAGGAGCTATTAAAAACAGGCTTGGAACTCACTTCTCCCTCTCACCTGACACCTTCACCTGGATTTATGCCAACTGGCAGCTGCTGTCTACCCAGTGGGGGATGGGCTCTACCAAGGATGACACACACGTGGGGTAGTGTCGTGGGGGGGGCGCCCCAAACCTGGGGCAGTGGGACAGGGGACACGTGGGTGTCAGGGTCCACGACTCAGGCACCCTGATTCAGGCTAGAAAGTCACACACCACGTCAAGGTCATCGTCTCATACGGACATCCCCCATCCGCAGCGGCTGTCAGAAGTAGCACATACTTTCTGTGGCCACCTTTTAGGGAGCCGGAGTGTTATCAGAAACCACTGTTCACATTCCCCATGGAAATCAGTGTCCCAGAGGCGAGAAGTCCACAATTCTCCCTGCAGGCAGACACATGAAACCCACTCCAGGTTCCCTGGTAAGCGTGAGCTCATGTACGAGCACCTCGGGGACGGCAAGGTGACCGAGCCAGGCTCGTACAGGGGCAGGGACCCAGGCCCGCAGTCCTGCGGGCACGTCTGGTGCTGCCACCTTCCCTCCGGCCTCGGGGATCTCCTGCTCTGTCTTCCGTGTTCAGCCAATGCCATTCCTGGCTGGGTGTTTCTTTCCTAAACTGCTGACCGGTCACGAGTATGCACATGTTTTCGTGTCCAAACACTGCTGACCAGTCACGAGATAATTGTGCCTGCACATGCATTAATTTAAGTGATTTTAAACACTTTGCTGACCAGTCGCGATGGAAAAGTAGCCGCCTGCACAGGTGAGTTCTGGCTCGAAAGAGGCGGCCAGCAAGGTGTCGAACATGTTCACGGCTCCCGCACGCCAGCCGGGCAGCCGAGTCCTCCTGCCCCAGCCCCTGCACCTGGGTATGAGCACCAGGTGGGTCTGCAGCTTGGCGCTCAGAGGGGCCCCGCCTCCTCCACCAGGCCAGCTCTCCAGGCTCGTCTCATGGGGTCCCAAGTACACAGGACAAGGCGTGCCTCCCAGGAATGAAACCCCCGGGCACGGGAGTCCCTGAAGGCCGTCCGCGCAGTGACCAGTGTGCAGCGGACACGCCAGACGACAGCAAGGGAAGCCCTTCCTTGTGTTCCCGTGAACCCCGAGAGTCTGCTCTGCCCTCGCTTGACAACCTCGCCTCTCCTCAGAAATAAAGGGTCCTATGGAGTCACGTGTCCCTGCTGTGAGGCGACATAGGTCTTTTTGCTAATTGTTGTTGCCTTTTTGGTCAGGACGACGAACAGGGTGTGTCACACAAGATGCTGAACAAAACCAAACCCAAAGAGGCCTGATTCCCTGGAGATGAGAGGGGAAGGGAACGAATAAATGGACATCAGATGAGAACCTGGCAGATGCAATGATTCTGCGCCTTGGAAAAGCGGGCACAAGCTGGGGGGGGAGGTGGCAGATGAAGGGTCAGACACCTGCCCCAGAAGGCACCAGACACCTGCTCTGAACGGGCTTTTACCAGAACTTCGATCTGGTTCTCCAGCTCCAGGCTGCAGCAGCCCAGTATGTCCCAGTGCCGCTGCCTGGGGGGCTGTCAGGGAATGAAGGGACACAGCAGGCCGAGGCCCCTGGGACCCCCACGCCTGTCCCACCTGACCTATCATTCTTTTCAGGGGCTCATGCAAGATGGAGGGGCCTCCTGATACAAGAGTGCAGGGGAAGAGGGGAGGGCAGCTGGAGCCCACGTTACGCCCAGTACATCCCCGTGACACCAGGCTGCTCTAAGGATCATCAACACGAGCTGGGCCTTCATCACTGTCTCCACAAAGGACTGTCACACGGGCTCTGGATCGAGAGCCCAGCGTCGCCGCTGTGGGCAGTGTGGCTGGGAGCTCCTCGAGGCAGGTGGGGCCGGGGGCCTGCATGGGGCACTAGTAACACTCTGGGCTCCTGCGAGGCCGAGGAGAACCCTGGGCTAGGCGCGGCTGGGGTCATGGAGACGCGATTAGGTGTTCCTGAGGCTGCTGCCCGGAGGAGTGCTCAGCGTGTTAATAGCACGGTCCTGCCTTGGACAGTGAGATGGGAGAGTCTCTCCCCACTGTCACCACAGACCAGCCTCCTGGGTCCACCTGTTCCACTCGGGGCAGTAAACAGAGTGCAGGGGAGGTTCTAGAGCTTCGTGGGGATCATTGGAAGATTCAGTCTACGGTCTTTCAAGGACCACAGGGGTCTTCCAGATGCAACTTATATTACTTTCTGAAGATACACACACACACACAAATACACACACAGAGCACACACGCACACACGCACACACGCACACACACAGAGCACACACATGCACATATATAGGTGTGCACTCTCCATCCCCCTTTGTCCCTCGAATCCCAGACAGAAGCCGGCAGCCTGCCCCCCTGGAGGGCTGGAGGGGGTCGTTACCTCTTTGGAGAGCCGGGAGAAGAGGTCCCCGCCCCGCAGGAAGTCCAGGATCAGGTAGAGCTTCCCTTCCGTCTGAAAGGCTGTGGAGGGAGAGTGAGTGGTCAGCAGTCCCTGTCCTCACGGTCCCCTGGCCCCTGGAGTGGACACCGTGCCCTCGGGCTCAGTCTCAGGCTCATACAATCCTGTGCGGTCTGTGACCCTGGGCCCTGTGATTTGGGGAAAGCTGCCCTGGGTCCTCCCCACAGCAGGTGATTTTATATTTTATTTTTACTGCATTTACCATAATGGAGCTTCACAATGAAGGGGTGATTCACTTCTGCCAAGATATCTCTCTCCATCTTCGACCTGACTCGGTCGCGAACTGCAGAACACAAAAACGAAGGATTTCAGGAGCAGGAATCAGGGTTCTAGGGACACAGAATAGAAACACTGATGCGAATAGTTTCCCCAAACTTCTGCTACAAAAAATTTTAAACATGAACAAAAGTTGAAATAGTAGGATAATGATCATCCCTAAACCCTCCAATAGATCCAACATGCACACACATGCGCACGCGCGCACATGCACACACACATGCACACAAACACACATATGCGTGCACACACATGCACACACATACACACACACACACGCAGGCACACACAGCCTTTAGCCAGAAACCTGACAGTAAGTGGCTGCCACCAGGACCCTCAGGCGCAGCACCTCTGGGAATAAGGACGGCCCCTTACAACCAACGGACGGTTATCCCTGAGGACGTTCGCTCTCATCCCACANTCCTCAGGCGCACCTCTGGGAATAAGGACGGCCCCTTACAACCAACGGACGGTTATCCCTGAGGACGTTCGCTCTCATCCCACAGTATCGCCTAACGTCCACCCCAGACTCAAGTCCGCCCCCATGTCGCTGACAGCGGGCTTTCCAACCCAGGACGCCATCACGGTCACAGGGTGTCTGGCCGGAATGCTCCGTTACTCTCTCTGTTTTGGGAACAGAATGGCCCACCTCTCCCGGCATGTTCCCGGCGCATTTGAATTAGGTGTGCAAGGGACCCTAACAGGCACTTGCACACCCACCTGCACAGCAGCGCTATTCACCATGGCCCCCGTGGCCGTCCACAGGTGCGTGGATGAGCAACAGGAGGGTCATCCGTACCATGGAGTGTAATTCAGCCTCGGAAGGGAGCACCCACGGTGACAGGGTGGGTCCTCCCTCTGGCCGGACTGAGGAGACGCCCTTATAGCTCGCGGGGCCGTGGGGAGCACGTGGCTCCACGCTGCTGTTTTACAAGAGAAGCAACTGAGGCTCGTGGAAGAGAAAGGCGGGTGCTCCACGCCCACCCCAGGGGGACCGCTGGGGGTCTGGCAGGCCTCCTGAGGCCAGCGGCTCGTCTGTTGGGAGGGTCCATGGCCACCCCTGAAGAGAAGCTGGAGGCGGGGCCTGGGTGGGGTGGGTAAGAGAAGGGGGTCTCTGGGTGCCACTCCGTGTCACTTAAGAAGTCCTGAGGCACCTTTATCAGCACACACTTCACCCCCTCGTTCTCCAAAAGCAGTTTATGACGCAATGAAACAGGAGAGCCTGTCATCAAGCAGGACGCAGCTGCGCACCAGGGGGAACGCCTGCAGCACCTGCGGGGCTCCATCGGACGCTCCCCCGCACGAGAAACACCGCGGAGGCCCGAGGGCTCCCGTACCTGCCCCCCAGCGCTGCAGCTCAGGACAGAACCCGGGAAGGCAGGCAGTTCGCGGGGAGCCAGGGAAGAGGAATCTCCCATTGCCTGCCGTCCCGTTTCAGGTTCCAACGGGCCACCTGGTGGACGCCGCAGAGAGGGTTTCAGGTAACAGGCAAAAGCTGAAGTCAGTCACTGATGAAAGATACGGAGGATGCCGGCCAAGGACCCTGAAGGGAGAGAGGGCAGGTGACAGGCAGGTGACGGGCAGGTGACGCAGGACAGCTCAGAGGCACAGGCTGAGGAGGAGGCCTGACGGGCTGGTCGGCAGACGGGTGGGAGCGAAGGGAGGGCGCGTCAGGAACCGTCGGGCCACGGGACTGTCCCTTCTAACGCTGTCCGACAAGAAGCCTCTCTGAGCAAGCCGTTGCGCCGACACTCGGGCTCTGCTGCGCCCCAGAGTTGGCGGCCTCCTCGCGGTGACAACCTCAACCAGTGCTGGTGGCCGGTCCAGGATGGCAGGGCCCCTGGGGGACCAGTCTTCTAGCACCCTGAGGGGGCCCCCTTCAGGGGGAAAGTCCCTGTTCCATCTGCCTGACACGACCATCCAAAAACAGACGTCGGGGTCCCACACCCATCTTGCCATCCCCCTGCAAAGCCCAGCCTTCAACGCCAGTTAAGAGAATCCGAAAACCCTCCGGGATCAATGTTGTTGTCACGAAGCTCAGATCCGTTTGGAATTAATAGAACTGTTTGGTCACACACCTGACTGACAATGGAAACCAAAGGCCACATGAGCCTGGGGCAGAAACTGGACAAGATCCCACGTTCAAGTTTCCAAGGGGCTGTCCAGTTACAGTGGAAAAATAAATATCTATTTCCACCCTACATTTTACACAAAAATAGCCCCCAGATCTGTTAAAGAGTTAAACGTTAGAGAGAACCAAGCCGGGCAAAGGGTCCCACAGATGAATTCCGGCCTGATGTCTGGGAATCTCTGCTTAATAAAGGCGGTGGAAGAAACAGCACCGGAAAGGGCGACAGGCCGAGTTACAAAACATTGACAAACTGGCCATCCAAAAAGGGCAAACAAAAAATGTAGGGGTTATCTGAAACAGAGAAAAAGGGCCGGATCCCAGATCAACAGGCCCTCTACACACCCTCATCGCGTCCGGAACAACAGAGAAGCCCAGGCTCAGCCCGGCCTTGGCCTCATGGCACGCAGATTCAACAGGCCGGGAAACATTTCCACCGCTGTGTTTTGTAAGACGGACGCCCTGGGCGCACAGCGACCGAAGGCGGCAGAGCCGGGCCGGGGCAGGGAACAGGAAGAGGCTGCGACGGTCCGGCGGGGCCTCATCACCGCTGACAGCGGCTACGGGGCTGACCAGCGGCTGCCAGGGCCCAGCGCGGGACACGTGCAGGGATGCACCGCACACCAGGGAATGGAGCTCTGGGGACTCCACGGACGGGNGCGCCCCAGAGTTGGCGGCCTCCTCGCGGTGACAACCTCAACCAGTGCTGGTGGCCGGTCCAGGATGGCAGGGCCCCTGGGGGACCAGTCTTCTAGCACCCTGAGGGGGCCCCCTTCAGGGGGAAAGTCCCTGTTCCATCTGCCTGACACGACCATCCAAAAACAGACGTCGGGGTCCCACACCCATCTTGCCATCCCCCTGCAAAGCCCAGCCTTCAACGCCAGTTAAGAGAATCCGAAAACCCTCCGGGATCAATGTTGTTGTCACGAAGCTCAGATCCGTTTGGAATTAATAGAACTGTTTGGTCACACACCTGACTGACAATGGAAACCAAAGGCCACATGAGCCTGGGGCAGAAACTGGACAAGATCCCACGTTCAAGTTTCCAAGGGGCTGTCCAGTTACAGTGGAAAAATAAATATCTATTTCCACCCTACATTTTACACAAAAATAGCCCCCAGATCTGTTAAAGAGTTAAACGTTAGAGAGAACCAAGCCGGGCAAAGGGTCCCACAGATGAATTCCGGCCTGATGTCTGGGAATCTCTGCTTAATAAAGGCGGTGGAAGAAACAGCACCGGAAAGGGCGACAGGCCGAGTTACAAAACATTGACAAACTGGCCATCCAAAAAGGGCAAACAAAAAATGTAGGGGTTATCTGAAACAGAGAAAAAGGGCCGGATCCCAGATCAACAGGCCCTCTACACACCCTCATCGCGTCCGGAACAACAGAGAAGCCCAGGCTCAGCCCGGCCTTGGCCTCATGGCACGCAGATTCAACAGGCCGGGAAACATTTCCACCGCTGTGTTTTGTAAGACGGACGCCCTGGGCGCACAGCGACCGAAGGCGGCAGAGCCGGGCCGGGGCAGGGAACAGGAAGAGGCTGCGACGGTCCGGCGGGGCCTCATCACCGCTGACAGCGGCTACGGGGCTGACCAGCGGCTGCCAGGGCCCAGCGCGGGACACGTGCAGGGATGCACCGCACACCAGGGAATGGAGCTCTGGGGACTCCACGGACGGGGTGATGCGCGAAGCGGCAGCCGGTTGGTGTGGCTGCCGACCCCTTTGCCCTCCGCCCACAAACCCCCACGAGGGCCGAAACTGCTTCCTGAGCGGCCTCCGGATGCAGAAATCCACCTCCACACAAGGCCGTTTGGCCTGCGAACAGCTAACCCGTGGCACAAAGTGGCCCCGCGACAAGCTGTGCTGCGGACATGGGGTGGCTGGAACTTTGCGGTGTTTATTACTCCAGAGAGAAAAAAGTAAGAAAACCACGAATAATAAAAATTTTAAAACGTTATCCACAGTGATCATGTATTGGGCGAACTCCCCGGGGCGTCTTCTTCGTTCTCTGTGCTAAAGTACCCAAGACAAGGCCTCGTGGTTGCTGACTCCTCTCCCCGAGGATCTGCGGGCAGCCCTCAGCCCCACGTGCCCCCGCCCAGGCCTGCAGGGTGACAAGCAGGGAAAGGTCCGCTTCCTGCTTTTCACCTGTTTACGGTTCGAGGGGCGCGGTGAAATGCAGTTCCGGTAGAAAGAAGCACGTAAGGGACGCCCAGGTAACAGGCGGCGTTCGAGTGGGAGCCCTGTGCCTGCCTAAGAGACAGGGCGCCTCCCCGAGGGCCCCAGAAAGCGGACACCTGTGGGGGTCCTTTCATTTTACTTTTGCTCTTCACCGGCTACCGGAGAGCAGAGACCCCAGCGCGAGGGGCCGGGTGCGGCTGCCTGGTGGGGATACGGGGCCCGGTGTGGCAGGGAGGAGCCTGGGATTCTGACCCCGCACCCTCCAAACCTCCTGCCTCAGTTTCCTCGTTTGTAGAACGAAGGTGAGGCCAACAGGGGCACTTAGCAAGCAGGGTTGGAAGCGGCCTTACCCACTCCACCCCCAGGGATCTGCAGTCGTCCACACGGGCATCGAATGACTTGAATGCCTTGGCGTGGAAATGCAGGGTGTGCCAACTAGGGCACCGACGGGCTCGGCGTCTGCGGGAGTCGGTGTTCTCCACGGAAGCTTCTCGGTGCCCGAGAGAAGGGCAGGAAGGAACGGTGCTGACGGCCACGTCCTGAGATTGCTGGACGGCCCTGAGATTGCCGTCCGCCCTTTTCTAAGGGACGTCCCAGTTCCCGCTCCTCGCCCTGTCCTTGGGCGGCCGGCGTCCAGGTTTCACCGCCACCCTGCTCACTCCGCTCCTCCGCCTTCTTCAGGACTAACTGGCCTGCGGGCCGGCGAGGGCCCGAGGGTGGGAGACGAGTTTGCGGAGCATTTGAAGGACTCAGGCCCACGATGCACAGGTGTTGGAGCAAAAGCAAGTTTAAATGGTTCTCTGAGCCAACCCCCTCCTTCAGCGGTGAGGGGAGGTGACGTCTGGAGGGGCCGGGCCTCGGCCCAAGCTCGGCACCCTCCGCCCCCCGTGACCGCCGCAGGCACCCTCGCGAAAAGGACTGTTTTGTAAACCCACTTTTTGTTCTCTTAAGAAAATAAATTCCAACTGCATTTCTGGAAGAAAGTGCCTATTCGTTACCGATGGACTGCTACGGAGCCTAATTTTATATATGGCATAAAATAAAGTTTGCTTTTACAGCCGCCCAGGGAAGTGGGAAAGGTTCTGCTCCTTGGTGCCTACACGGCTTATTCGCAAGATGTAAAAACGATTTTACATAGTCGAGCACATTGTTCCGGAATATTCCACAAGCGACTTCACGTTACAAAAAGTCAGGGTTTTATTTTGATTGAACGCTTGAAATATGGAGCCTGGAGAAGAAAATAAAAGCCAGCAATCAGGAGCAGTCTCCACTCGGGCACCTTCCTGCCAGCTCCACGTCTGTTCAGTGCTCGCTGACACCCGCTTCTCCCAGGCCTGCGGGACGCCTGCGCCCTCAGCCGCGCCGGGCTCCCTCATCCCCGGCCTGGCCGAGCAGCACGCGCCAGGCGCTCTCGGGGCCTCCGGGTCGGGTTGTAAACAAGGAGGAGACACAGCGTCCACCGAGGGACAGCTGCGGGAGGCCACGGTCAACTCGGACAGGCGGCAGGCGCAGCATCGGGTCAGACAGAGGACCGCTCGTGGCTACGGTGACCGGGGAGGAGCGTCAGGGGGTGCGTGGCCCCCGGGAGCAACCCGATCGCAGGATGGCGCCTTCCCGCTTCCACCTGCCTCTGTCGTGACCACGGCACCAGCTGCTCGGTGACCGAAGGGCCCATCTCAACGCTTGAGGATGGAAGAGGGGGTCTGAGAAAATGGCCCTGCTGTTTAGCGGCTGTTGGTGTTTACGAATTCAATTCTCACAGTGGCTTTCAGGATACTCACGGGGGTCTGCGGCCGCCCCCACCGTCAGCTTTAACACAGCTCCATCGTCCCAGCCCCACGGCCGCGGCCAGTCCTTCCCTTTCTCGCCGCACCCCACCCCCAAGCCCCTGAAACCACAAGCCTACTTTCTGTCTTGGGTTTGCCTTTTCCAGACTTTCATCCCAAGGGGCCCCTACGGTACGGGGAGCTTTCCTTAGCGTAACGTTGGCGAGATTCACCCCCGTGGTGGCGTCAATCAACACGTCCTTTCCTTACGGCCGAACGTGTCCACTGTGTGGCTGAACCACAGTTTCTCTCCCCACATTTAGCGCACGGATCCCTCACCAGCAGCGCACAGTGGGTCAGGGCAGGCCAGGAGGGGCTCGGCCTGCGCCTCGTGGCCCAGATCACGACGGACGGGCGCGGACATCCGACGGCAGCCCTGTTCCCACCCGCTTAGTGCTGCTGCTGCCCTGGGGGTGGGCGTCCCGAGGGCCGGGGGCAGGGGTGGGACGAATTTCTAATCCCGTCGCTGGGGCAACAAAGGGAAACAAAGCGGCCGAGAGTCACGCTTCGCGTGAAACTGAGCAATCCCGCCCAGGGATTCAGGCCGACCCGTCGTCCGCACGCGGCACAGCCTGCCTGCCTGCCCCCGAGGGTCTTCGCACCAGGACAGACGTGGAAGGAGGGTGCTTACGCAACGTGGCACCGCTCCCCAGGAACTGCGGCGTCTGCGGGGCAGCGAGACACCAGGGACGTGTTCACTATCAGTCAGGGGAACGCGCCTGGGTTACGCCCGAGAGACGTCTTCCAAAACCACGAAACGTGGCGCCGGCAGAGCGTGGCCGCAGCCCCCCCCCGCCGTGGCGGCCCGGCCCTCACCTTTCAGGGTGGCCTTCTTCAGGACCTTCATCGCGTACAGCTGCCCCGCGTCCGGGCCCACGGCCTTCCGCACCAGGAACACCTTCGGGAGACAGACACAGACCCGCCAGGCTTCGCGTCTCCGTTGTCGGGTAGACAAGGGGACGCGGGGGGGAGTTTACAGAACTTCTGATAAAACAAACACGCAGCAGGAAAGCTTTAAACTGAGAATGTGCGCCCACGTCCAGGCCGCGGGGAATCGGCTCGGCTCCTCCAGACGCCTCGGTGAGGCCTCGCTGTTTGCGGGAGGATCGTCGTTTGTTTCCAGTGCCCTTACCTTTCCGTTACTCATTTTAAGTCGGAAGTGAACTCCACCCTCCTTTTTAAAAACAAAAACCAGCCCGGCCGGTGTGGCTCAGCGGTGGAGCATCGACCCATAAACCAGGAGGTCAGGGTTCGAGTCCCGTCAGGGCACAGGCCCGGCCGCGGGCTCGATCCCCAGCGGGGGGCGCGCAGGAGGCCGCCGATCAATGACTCTCATCATTGATGTTTCTCTCTCTCCCTCTCTCTGAAATCAATAAAAACATATTTAAAAAACACAATATTCACCAGTTTTAAGGGAGAGCGTCGGGTTCCTTGTAAATACCCGGTAACCCCACGGTGAAGGCCGCCCCCAGTTACTTCCGGTCACACAGAACGGGCTCTCACTCATCCTCAAGGGAAATGTTGCTCGTATGTTGAGCTTTCTTCACCCACATTTTAGCTTTGAGTAGCTTCAGCTTATAGACTGGCCTCTAAATGGCTCCTACACAGACTCTGTGGACATTTAACACCTTCGGAAGCGTTTTAGACCAGCGTTTGAGGGAGGCTGAGCTGACAGTCGTCGTGACGGTGCTGAGCAAGTTAGTAAAAACAAAACAAAACAAAACACAACGGAGTGTCCTTTATGGAAAAAAAACAGTAACAACAAAAAATCCCACCTCCCATGCAAACGAAAAGCTGGCGCGGGGTCTCCTGCCCGTATTTCCTGGCCGACACGGCCATCGCACGGGCGATGGGGGGTGTTCCGCACACGGGCGATGGGGGGTGTCCCGCACACGGAGGTGCTGCCGAGGGGTGCGCAGCAGGGAGGGCGGGGAGCTCCGCGAGCCCCGAAGACCCGCCACCCAAACAGGACCAGCTCCAGGGCCAGGTCCCTCGGCGAGGAGCCTGTTCCCTCCCCGCCTCGTCCCAACCCCACGTACGCTCGTGGGTTCCAGGGGGACTGAGAACCCCCCTCACTTAGGCCTGCACTGAGAACCACACTCACACGAGCAGCCCCATTAANGTGTCCTGCACACGGGCGATGGGGGGTGTCCCGCACACGGAGGTGCTGCCGAGGGGTGCGCAGCAGGGAGGGCGGGAAGCTCCCCGAGCCCCGAAGACCTGCCACCCAAACAGGACTAGCTCCAGGGCCAGGTCCCTCGGCGAGGAGCCTGTTCCCTCCCCGCCTCATCCCAACCCCACGTACGCTCGTGGATTCCAGGGGGACTGAGAACCCCGCTCACTTAGGCCTGCACTGAGAACCACACTCACACGAGCAGCCCCATTAAGACTTAGCTTAAAAGACGTCAGGTTTTGCATCAATAGTTGCACAGAAAACCTTTTCCTTTCTTGAATTTCAGGCTTTAAAAGTGAGGTGATTGACAGTAATGGCTATTTTGCTCGTCTGTTTTAAAAAAAGAGTTCTACGTGTATTTTTGGAGAGAACGGGAGAAAATCCGTTCTGTGGATGGTTGTCAGGATGGCGCCGTGCGCCAGGGGCCCCAGGGGCTCCCAGCCTGCGGCAGGAGCCACCCCGGGGCGAGCAGGGGGCCCACTGGGGCATCAGCGGCCTCGGAGAGAAACTGCAAAATACGGTAAAAATCCGTTTCAAAATGGACGCAGTCCGCAGAGCCGGCTTTCGCAGCTGCGTCCCGCAGTCCTCTCCTCTCCCGTCCCTTTAGGTTCAGGGACACACTCTGACGTCCTGAAGCCAGTTCCCAGCAACTCTGACAACTGCGCGAAACGCAGTCCCTGGAGCTTGAATATCTAATGTCGCTGGCTCATTACAGGCCCCTCGATTCGTTTTTAGAATTGCCGCATCAGCAGGTCAGCCGCGTCTCCCCGGAGGTGGCCCCTGAGGACGCGTGGGGCAGGCGAGGTGTCATTCTAAACCGCCCCAAACCCCCACATCCGCGGGATCAGCAAGACCCCCACTTCCCCTTGCCCCCTCCCCGGCATCTGAGGGCTTGGTAGTGAGGTGGGGACCAGCCACAGGGCCCGAGTCTCCCAGAGGGGGTCAGAGATGCACTTACCTTCCCGTAGGATCCTTGTCCTAAAACCTTCAGCAGCTCGAACTGGGACGGGTCGGCCTTTTCAAATCCCTCCTTCACATGGTGGCTGATGTCGATCTCCTTGACGATGCCTTCTTCCTGCGAGACAGCAGGGCCTCGGTAAACAGGCGGGCCCGGGGGTCCCCGCAGCGTCAGGCTTTCGTCCCACACCCAAGTCATGACTTCGATCAGCTCAGTTTTTGTTACCATTATTATTATTTTTTGGTGAAGCCTCACCTGAGGATATTCTTTCCATTGCTTTTCAGAGAGTGGGAGGGAGGGAGGGAGGGGGAGAGACATCGACGTGAGAGAGACCCACCGACTGGCTGCCTCTGGGACACACTCGGCCTGGGGTGGGGAGCAAACCACAGGCCAGTAGGTCCCTTGACCAGGAACCGAACCCCTGACCACCCTTTGGTGTGCAGGCCGGCGCTCTAACCACTGCGCCGCTGCAGGGAACAACCTTGCGCTTGGAGCCATCGCCAAGCCGCTGGCCCAGCTCCTAAGCTCAGCTTTCACTCCTTCATCCTCGGGACTGTTCAGACGCGCGTCCCCGGAAAGTNGCCGGCCAGGGCTGCAGGGAACAACCTTGCGCTTGGAGCCATCGCCGAGCCGCTGGCCCAGCTCCTAAGCTCAGCTTTCACTCCTTCATCCTCGGGACTGTTCAGACGCGCGTCCCCGGAAAGTTCCCGCTGCCCTTCCCCGCAAGGGACGGCTCGGCTCCCGCTCCGTGTCCGGCCTCAGGACGACTGCACGCCAGGCTGCCAGGCGGCCGTGTGACGCCGAGTGTGGCACAGGCTCGGCCTGCCTCCCTGTGCTGTGAAACTAGACGCAAAGGGTTAACCACCAGGCCGGAGCTGCTGACGGATCAGGTCCCGCAGGGCTCCTGCGCCCCACTCCTCTCCTGCCGGCCTGCGTCCTGTGGGGGTGCTCAGGACCCGGGTCAGGGCAGGCCTGCTGGTGCCAGTGAGGGCGGGTGCTGCTCCCTCCGCTGCTGTCCCCGGAGATGTGCGATCAAGCGACCGAACCAGCACACCGTCCTCAACAGTTTTCTTTCTTTCTTTTATTTTTTAAGAAAATAAATGTGACCTTCCACCCCAGGAAACGTTCAGGTGAGGTGACGTGCCTACTCTGACGCCACCAACAACTTTATGGCAAGTGTTAAAAATACACATACAGCCCGGCGGGCGTGGCTCAGTGGCTGAGTGTCGATCCATGAACCAAGGGCTCAGGGTTCGGTTCCCGGTCAGGGCACAGGCCCGGGTTGAGGGCTCGATCCCCAGTCGGGAGCGTGCAGGAGGCCGATCGATGACTCTCATCACTGATGTTTCTCTCTCTCCCTCTCCCTTCCTCTCNCGTCGATCCATGAACCAAGGGCTCAGGGTTCGGTTCTGTCAGGGCACAGGCCTGGGTTGAGGGCTCAATCCCCAGTCGGGAGCGTGCAGGAGGCCGATCGATGACTCTCATCATTGATGTTTCTCTCTCTCCCTCTCCCTTCCTCTCTCTGAAATCAATAAAAATATGTTTTTTAAAAAAACCATACCAAAGAATTTATATGCATATATGCACAACCCAAGGACACGGACAATGGTGGGGAGAGGGACTGGGGAGGGGGCAGGAACGGGGGGAAACAGGTCATTGGGGAGAAAAAAGGGACATCTGTAATACTTTCAACAAAAATAAAAATTAAAAACAAAACAAAAACCATACAAATCGCATGTACACTCAGGGCCCATCAAATGAAAACCAATCATGAGCTTTACAAAAATAAATTGGAAATGTACACAATCTCGTTCAAAATGAGCGCAGGGCTTTTCAGCTCCTGGGCCTTTTGCCTGTGTAACTAGAACAATGTTGAAGCAGCGGCAGGGAACACCCGTCCACGCGCCGCCAAGGGTGACCGATTCCGTCAGCAACCTGGACTCAAAGCTGCCGAAACGGCTGGGACAGCGGCAGGCCCAGGAAACGCTTTCCCCGCAGGTGCGCGGCAGGTTTCATGCCAGGACAGGGTGCCGTCCTTCCGGTCAGTTATTGGTGCATCTCTTTACGATCATTCCCCCAACCCCTCTAATATCTGAGATTTCACATTCGCAAGAGGACACAGGGTCGCCAGGGAGCGAGGGTGCCCTGTTCACAGACGGGAAAGGGCTGGAGGATTGCTGGCCACCAGGCAAGGGGCCACGCCCGGGGGTTCGAGCCCCCCAAACCCATACGTTGAAGCCCCAACCCCTAGTGATGGTGGAGGAGGTGGGGGCTCTGGGGGTGATTAGGTCTGGAGAGTGGGCCCCCCTATGGGATGAGTGACCTTAGAAAACCTTAGAAAAGGGGCCCCAGGAGCCAATGTGTAAGCTCTGGGGAGCTCTGCAGACTGGCCAGGGCCCGCGTGCAGAATATCGGGGCCCCACCGGGGCCCCACGGTGAGTAATTAACCAGGTACTGGATCCGCCTCCTGCTTTGTTTCCTAAGGAAACGGATCTACTCAGAGAAGCAGCCGGTTAGTGTTTCCCGGGGAAAAGGCAGAATTCACCTGATGGCGTCATCAGGCCCCGTTTGTGGCCCTCTGCCCCCGGCCTCTCGCTGTGTCATCCGGGCCTCTCCCAACATCACATCAGAGGCTGCCTGTAAGTCTCGCGTGGAGAACGACCAGGTGTTGGCCTCATTGGCGCCGCCCCGGCCGCCCTGTGTTTCCCCGACGTGACCTGGGCCCCCCCGGGGCAGAGCCCGCTCGCTCACGGCCAGACCGGGACGAGCCTGACGTTTTCCATCCGCAAAGCGCCGACAGGTCCCCGGGCTTTTCACTTTCCTCCTCCATCGGGTGAGGCGCTCGCTGTCTGTCCCACGCTCCCCTCCCTCTGCCTCAGCCCCAACCTGCGTTTCTGAAGGAAACGAGAGAGACGAGTGGACGAGTCTCCGGGCGACCTCTCTTCCTCTCGGGCGTCCGTCTCGCGCCCGTTCAACATGAACCGTTCTGGGTTTTCCCCGTTGCGGGAGTTCCCAGCCTGACAATCAGCACAGACGGATGGAAACTCGGGAACTTTCCACTGCGGGACATCCTGCACGTCCCCCGGTCACCCAGTGGAGGTCGCCCCCCCGCGTCCCTTCACCGCGGCCCAGGATCGCCTGTCCTTCCCAAGTAGCGAGAGGCGGCTCCGGTTTCAACAGACCGAGGCCTGGGGAGGGCGCCGCCCGGATCCCTGGCCCTTTTCCGCAGCCGAGCCGTCGGTGTGCGGCAGTGACCGTACTATCAAAGGTGATGCCGCAGACTGGGGGTGGCATCAGGGTGGGGCGTCACCTCGCCTGCACGTCACAGCCCCACCCAGGGGCCACGTTACCCCGGGTGGAAGGTCACATTTCTTTTCTTAAAAAAACAAAAACAAAACCCCACCGAGCTGTTCCCCACATGTGTTGGTCTGGGTGCTTGAGCTCACGTCTCGGGGCCACGCAGGGGGCTCTCACTGGGTTCCCCGTACGAGGCTGTGGCAGGAGGAATTGGCTTTAAAATGTAAGGTCCTGGGCTTTCTCTCCCGTGTTGTTCTCCTGTCTTCCTTCCAGCTTCCCTGGGGAGGCGCCTGATGTGACATGCGTCTTATTCTGGCTCACGGGGCCCTGGGGTGCGCAGGCCTGTGCGGCACCACCCTTGGCCACCCTGGTGATGTCCAGTGTCGGGTGGTCCTCCCCCGCTATGGAGCCAGCGTCCTCGCCTGGCCACCGGGGGGGACGGAGCCCGCTGGGAAATCAGCGGTCACTTCAGATGAGGCGGTGGGCTCAAGACGAGAGTGAGTGATGAAGTCACAACCGGGACAAGGCAGGGTCGGAACCGGGCTCCTGACCCCAACACCCGGCCGGGAGCTCCTTCTACCCGAAACCACGGGCCACGCACCCTCACCCCGGCCGGGAACAGGGCCGCCACACACACAGGTGGCCGTGATTTGATTGAAAGTTTAAAACTGAGCAACCTCAGGATCTGGGACCTCCTGAGACAGCGGATCCGGAAGACCCACCTTGCGAGGGCGAGGAGGCCACCGGCTCTGGGACCGGGGCCTGGGGCGGGCTGCCGGGTCTCTGGCGCTAGTGGGCATGAGCCGCGTGACCGTGGCAAGTGCCTCAGCCATTCCCCACCTCACTCCTCTCCCGTGAAGCAGCGAGAGGTCAGGGTGCAACAGTGAAGCCTAAGGGGAGAGGACCTGGAGCCGAGCAAGCGCTGGAAGGATCTGAGCCCTTACAACACCACAGTGCTCTTCTCTTTCTCAAAGGCTATGACTCCAAAAGCCCCTCCTGACCCGAGGCTCCAGCAAAGGGGAGGTTTGGCAAAGCTGGTCCTCGGGTGACGCTGGCACCTGAACCAGGGGCTTCCTGACATGCAGGTGCTGGGCCTGGGCCGTAATCAGAACCTCGGGCCGACCTGGTGGCTTTCACCAGGTGTCCCAGCCCGTTTCTGTCCAGCGCCACCGAGCAGGTGCTGCGGGGATGCCCACAGGGACGGGCCCAGCGGTGTGACGAGGGAGAGCGAGACCCAGGAGATTCTGTGTTGAGAACCCAAACTTGGCTCAATGCCCTCAGGGGGACGCAAGACCCGGTACCCGTCACTTCAGTATTTAGCGAGAGGCCCAGGTGGAAGGAAGCAGCCATTCTGGTGTGGAAGGTAGAATCCGAAAGGTCACAACCGTGCGGAACAAGACGGGATGAGCAGCCGGGCGAGTCAGGCAGCCGGGCCCTGGGCGCGGCCAGGCCTGCGGGAGGGATTGGTGAACACACCCAGGAGTCGGTTTATGCAGCTCAGTAAACTGTATATAGTTGTGCTCTGTTTTCTGGGGTCAGCATTTTTTGAGTAAAGTGATTAAAAGCCCAGGTTGCCACGAGCCCTGTGTGCGACCACAGCCTTGGGTGCAGAGCGGGAGGCAAGGCCCCGCCCGGAAGGCGCGCTGACCTCCCAGGGAGCAGGGGGCGGAAGAGATGGGAGCCAGGGGACTATGCTGCCAGGCCTTGTGACGGCAATTCTACTGTGAATATTCAAATACATTATCAGTGCATCGCCAGTTATAATAAGACTGCATTTAAAGGAAATTTAGACACGAGACTACAGAGAGAAAATCCTAAAG